ATATTCCATCACAGATTATAATATTCCATCATAGATTATATTATATTCCATCACAGATTATATTATATTCCATCTCAGATTATAATATTCCATCATAGATTATATTAGATTCCATCTCAGATTATAAAATTCCATCACAGATTATAATGTTCCATCACAGATTATATTATATTCCATCACAGATTATAATATTCCATCATAGATTATATTATATTCCATCATAGATTATATTATATTCCATCAGAGAGATTATAATATGCCATCATAGATTATATTATATTCCATCACAGATTATAATATTCCATCATAGATTATATTATATTCCATCAGAGATTATAATATTCCATCATAGATTATATTATATTCCATCACAGATTATATTATATTCCATCTCAGATTATAATATTCCATCATAGATTATATTATATTCCATCATAGATTATATTATATTCCATCACAGATTATAATATTCCATCACTGATTATAATATTCCATCACTGATTATAATATTCCATGACAGATTAAATTATATTCCATCTCAGATTATAATATTCCATCATAGATTATAATATTCCATCATAGATTATATTATATTCCATCGTAGATTATAATATTCCATCATAGATTATATTATATTCCATCACAGATTATAATATTCCATCATAGATTATATTATATTCCATCACAGATTATAATATTCCATCACTGATTATAATATTCCATCATAGATTATATTATATTCCATCACAGATTATAATATTCCATCATAGATTATATTATATTCCATCACAGATTATAATATTCCATCACTGATTATAATATTCCATGACAGATTATATTATATTCTATCATAGATTATAATATTCCATCATAGATTATATTATATTCCATCTCAGATTATAATATTCCATCATAGATTATATTATATTCCATCATAGATTATATTATATTCCATCATAGATTATAATATTCCATCATAGATTATATTATATTCCATCATAGATTTTATTATATTCCATCATAGATTATATTATATTCCATCATAAATTATATTATATTCCATCATAGATTAAAATATTCCATCATAGATTATATTATATTCCATCTCAGATTATAATATTCCATCATAGATTATATTATATTCCATCACAGATTATAATATTCCATCATAGATTATATTATAATATAATCTATGATATATATTATACTATATCAGAGATTACAATATTCCATCATAGATTATATTATATTCCATCATAGATTATATTATATTCCATCACAGATTATATTATATTCCATCTCAGATTATAATATTCCATCATAGATTATATTATATTCCATCATATATTATATTCCATCACAGATTATATTATATTCCATCTCAGATTATAATATTCCATCATAGATTATATTATATTCCATCACAGATTATAATATTCCATCATAGATTATATTATAATATAATCTATGATATATATTATAATATATCAGAGATTACAATATTCCATCATAGATTATATTATATTCCATCATAGATTATATTATATTCCATCACAGATTATAATATTCCATCATAGATTATATTATAATATAATCTATGATATATATTATAATATATCCATCAGAGATTATAATATTCCATCATAGATTATATTATATTCCATCATAGATTATA